CTACAATGACATTAAAATGATACACAGGTTTCTCTTTTACATTTTTCTTAGCAAAATAAGACTAATAATCTCAATTATTTTATGTCATGGACTAGTCTCTTAAATAATACCTAGTGGTTATTTCATTTTTGTAGAGCTATTGTAATAAAATAGTACTTGTCACTCAAACAATAGCAAGTTATTTTCTTCGTTCTTGAGGCTGAAAAAACCAAGATCAAAGTATCCACAAGATTCAGTTCTTAGGCCTCTGCCTCTGGCTTACAAGCAGTAAACTTTGTGCTGTATCCTTAGACATTCATTCTTGTACACAGGAATCTTGTGCGCTTCTACCTACATTCTGATTTTCTTTCTTGCAAGGCAAAGTCAAATTTGATTAGAGCTGAACCCAAAATTCTGAGTAACCTAAATAAGAGCCATTTCAAAGAAATGATGAGAACAAAATCTAGAAGATTTTTGTTAAAGAAAGAATAAAAGCAATTAAGAGAATTAATAACAGGAAAGTCTTTAAAATTTTGAATTAGTAATGGTAAAATAATGTGTCTTATAAAGTTTTATATTTTAATAATTTCATAAAATTATTATGGCTATCTTTAAAAGACTTCAAAGAATCTTGTTATATTCAGCCAAATAAAAGTAAAATATAGAATGTCATCCAGAATAATTAACTATCACCTAAAATGTTAAAATCATTTTAAGAATTCTGAAGATAGAAACATAATTCAGAATTTTTAAATCTTTGACATTGGTGTAATGGGGGGGGTAAGGTAATAAACCTTCTTATGGTTTCAGAAAATGTAAATGCTTAATGAATCTAGCCAAACCTCTTCATTTTGGTGGCAATGTAAATGAGTTCAGTCATTTTGAAAACCAGTATGGAGATTCTTCAAAAAACAAAACCAACAATCCTACTTGACTGAACTACTCCTAAAGAGCTAATGTATTCAAGTTAAGAAATACCATATGCTCATGTTTAGAGCACTGTAATTCACAGTAATTAAATCTTGAAAGTCATGCATTCATCCATCCTTTGACAGATGAATGGATGAAGAAACTGTAATTATTTATATACAGTAAAATATTACTCTCCAATGAAAAGCATAAATGATTCATTTGTAGGAAAACAGTTGTACTTTTAGATTATAATTTTAAGTGAAATAAAGCAGACACAGAAGCTTAAATATCTCGCGGTTTTTCTTACGTGATTATCTCCAAATATAAAGAACAAATAAAAGTCAGGTAAGTCTTTTCAAAATGGAAAGGGACCAAGAGATAGAGTGAAGAGTAGAAGAAGAGGGTGGAAAAACAATGGAAATATGCAATGTACATGTACAAACATGAAATGCCTATTCCTTGGGTTCTGCAAATGTGTAAACGGAAACACTATTGATCTACCTCTGTCTGTCTTTCTGTCTGGCTATCTAGCTATAGATAGATCTAACTATCAGTCTGTCCAGGAGTACAAAGGCATCTTACATTTCCTCATCCATCATAAACATCAGAGTGGATAACTGGATACTCAGACAGGTTGGCAGTATAAAATCAAATCAAATTTATTCAACCAAAATTTTCCATTACATGGGCGCTTTCAGAAATGAAGACACAGAAACCCTGAGAAAATAGTCTTTATGCTTCATTCTTTGATAGCAGGCCACCGTGTAGAAATATCATTGGCTAAAAGGGTGTGATATAATGATACACTGAGCAGGAATCCAGCAATCCTTGTCTACTCGAGTTCTGGGTCTTTCCGTATGGCATCTCTCCTGTTCGGGTAAGGTTGGACTACGTTGGAATGGAGTCTCATGACCTAATATCAGACAAGTGAATATCTTTATAGCTAACACCTCCAGAGTGAAGTGGAGGAAGGTTACTGCAATACTGTTTCTTTTATAACGTTGTTTGGAAAAAAGATTTCTAGTTTCCATGGAAAAATAGGAATCCAGTTTCTAGGATTCATTTTGGGATTGAGGAAAGAGAGTGAGAAGAGATTAAGAGAGTAAGCGAAGATCATCATGTTTACTTCTGAGGTCTTCTAATCTTCTTAATTTGAAGTATACTAAATTTTAAGTGACTATTTTCTGAGCCTCAATATTATCTATACACTTTTATTTATTGTTTTACTTGCTTGAAAACACTGTCTAATCGCCTAAAATAGTTTTAATGTGAACTACATTAAAGATAGAAACAACTATAAGGAAAAGAAACAAAATCGGTTATCCACAGTTGCAAAGTATTTGCTTTGTTAGACTCTTCTGTAGACCTTTGATCATTGTTAACAATGCCTACTGTTTCAATAGGAGAACATTATTCAGAAATATGAAAGAACTGAAAGAATGTGTGTATGCTAGTGAACAACTCTTTTGTGTAAAGTTACAATTACATAGACTAAAGCAACTGCATGCTCAGCGGAAGGGTCATTGAATGAAGTCTGGAATATACTTTATCTGAATCCAAAGTGCTGAAAAAGGCATTTGAGGCTGATATACTAAGGCAAAAGGACTCAAACTCCAACCATATGATATTTTGTGGATTTCTGAAGACAGAGACATAATTAATATTTTTAAAAATCTTCGTTACTGACTGGACGAAAGTAAGATTTTTGGATTTTGAGGAATCTTTAAATATTTGTGATTCCATAAAAACTGTATAATTCAGCATCGAAACTATAACACAAATGGCCTCAACTGCAGTGTATGGTATATTACAAAAAAAACTTTTCTGTTTGTTCTTGCTGATCATAATAAGAATTCCCACAATGGTACTGCTTCTTCTACCTTGCTTTGAAAACATGAATGATAATGCTGGCACATATGACTTTGTTAGGTTATCTGTTGACAAAATGTCACTCACTGAAACAACATACTACCAAGGAAGTATTGTGAGGCACAGAGTAGGAAAAAATATTAAGGTATAGATTGCAGAAGTAATTGCTTAAAGGGAAAGGGAAAAAAAAAGTCTTTTCCAATGTGCATCTTATTTTCTCCAGTTTGAATCATATACATTTGCCAAATGAAAGATATTAACAAAAGAAACCCATATATTTATTTAATAAGGAAATAGAGGAAAGGAAGAACTGAAAAAAATGGTTAATCCTGAATGTTTGCTGAAGCATAAAGGGTTAGAGAAAAACATGATTGATCACACAAATAAGCAAAATTTTGTAAACTGTGGGGAAATCCAGCAAGGTCATCTTGACAGTTTTTTCTTCCATGGCCCTCTGTCTTCAGAATGAAGGTATTCCTTTTCTGTGTGGATAAGGATAATGCCTCTCCCATGAAGGTATACCTTACGACCTGGTTTAGGGGAAAATAGGATGACAGAGCACATTCCTATGCATGCTGTTTCTCAAATTCCTTCCAGTTAGACTACTCCATGTGACAGGACACTATATTTTGCAGTAATATGTTTTGAATGTGTCATTCCTTTTACTCAATCATGATTCTGTACTAAGTCCAAGCAATGAAGTATATCAAGACCAGTGTTTTCTCTTTGTCTGTGATTGTGTCTTCTCTTATTTTAGTGACTGACAGAATGGCAAGTAGAGTGCAATTAACCTTTTGAGAAGCAGGTATAAAGACCACATTCACGGAACAATGTAGCAAGTAATTATAATTATGCCATTTTATTATTGTTTGTTTATCTTACTGTGCCTAACTTATCAATAACTTTATTGTAACTATGCATGTAAAGGTAAACACATACCATACTTTGTGTTTGGTACTATTTGGTTACTACCATTGCCTTTAAATATCTTGGAATATATTTCCATGAATTAGGAGAGACCGCTGTAATTTTCAGAAGTTAAAATTATTATTTTAATTAAAAATATAGACTGAAAACGGGCTAAAAATTTCATAAACTTGGGTTTGTGAAGTTACTAAATGAGCCAGACTAGTTTTGCTAATCAAAAAGCATTCATTAGTGGATTTGGAAATTGACAACCATTTCAAGAAAAATAATACATTAGATTTATAAGATAGATATAAAGAGGTTTCATGCTCCAGACATTAATATAACCATGAAGTTTAGGGTATTTTTCTACCAGAAAGTTATCTGCAAATTAATACGTAATTTCACAGTATGTAAATCTTATCAAATAGAAAACACTCAAGTCAAACACAGACACAATCTTCTAGATCTGTGCTATGTATTGTAACCAATAGTTACAAGTTAAATATATTAACAAGCACACAACTACTTAGGGGTATTTGAATTAAGCAATGTTAATTAAAATGCAAGACATTAAGACTCAGTTTTCCAGTCATAGTAGCCACTTAAGTGTTCGATAAACATGTTTGGATAATGGTTACTTTATTGGAAGGCATGAGTAAGGAATATTTTCTTCATCATAAAAAGGGCTATTGGATAGCACTCCAGAGACTAATCAGTCCTCAACTAGGCCTTTTACAATGTCTAAGTATGCTTATGAAAAAAATATCATTGCCTCTTTTGTTTTACTGCTAAGTGATTTTTGTTTGTTTGTTTTTGTCATTATTGTTTTTGCTTTTGGAGTTTTTTTGGTGAATAAATCAATCTTCTTATGCTGATTTTCTGTATTTGTGTGATCTCTGTACATTTGAGGGGCATAACAGATGAGTATCTGGAAACAAGGAATCATCTCAAGTTTATGAGAGGTGTTCTCATTGCTTTAGATTCTTACCTGTGCTTTTAAACCTGTCGTGTTCATGGGGCTAAATTATCTATTGTGGACAAAGACAATCAGAAAGAGAAATGTTATACTATGAATAAATATATTTTAAGATTTAGAAAATCTTTGTCTATTTGTCTAGATCATCCTCACTCTTCAGCTAGCAAGAAGAAATATATGAAAATGCAATTATTTCACATAGTAGTGTCATTTACTTTGACGTTACAAGAGATTTTGCTTGCAATTTTGTAAAATGACCTATACTTTTGAAGTGTTCTTCTTGATCATTTGGGTAGTCTTATATGATGACAAACTTGAGTCTGTGATTCAGTGGTTTCGTATGCGTGTTTTTCAGATGTGGAACAAATGGCTATTGACTGGCTCACCAGGAATCTCTATTTTGTGGATCATGTCAGTGACAGAATCTTTGTTTGTAATTTCAACGGATCTGTATGTGTCACCTTGATTGATCTGGACCTTCATAACCCTAAGGCAATAGCAGTAGACCCAATTGCAGGGTAAGAAACTCCTTTGTCATATTTGGTTTGTGAATGTTTCTATTAAAAATAAAATCTGAAAAGATTGATGGAAAATAAGACAAAAACTGCACCATTTTAAAAGAAAATTGCTGGCTGTATTTCTTGGATTTCAGGCAAACATAAAGACTAATTTACTATTCAGAAGCCGGGGAAAAACTATCTTCTTAAATGATCAATATTTCAGGCCTACCCTAAAACTCAGCAATCTTCTTCCCTTGCCAGAATATCTTTATGTCTACCAAAGGAGCTCTCAGGAGAGTTTCAGGATAAAGAGCCTGACTTTTCATTACCCCGCAGTGGACCTTGTAGTTAGACAAGTTCACAGAAGCTACTGAATGATATTCGATGAACAGATTTATATTTGGTATTACATTTAAAATTTATAAAAGATGTGCAAAGTGTTTTCCAGAGTATTACTGAACCATTACGGATATCTTTGTTAGACCATTGCATTGATAACTATTGAAATGTAAACTGCATATTACTATAGAGTTAATGAATTTCTTCTCAGAATCCATCTTTTTTATTGAAACATTTCAATTTGAAAGTTTCTTATTGGTTAAAAGAGGCCTTGTTTTATAAGACCTTCTTTTAGATAATAGGCTCATTAATCTTCTTTAATGTTTCACAGTTTGTCAAAATATAGCCATAAAATGTTTAAATTACAGTCAAGTTTATTCATACGTTTAGAAAATCAATACAGAAACTAATTATGCCTTTATTTTACAAATACTCTGGTATTATTAGAGAGTGAGGGACAGATAATGGAGTTCCATGAATTCAATTTTTTCACCTGTCAGTAGTGGGCAAGGAAATTAATGACAAATTAATGGTATAGTGTACTACTCAAATTAGTGGCATAATGCACTTCTCAAAATAATGACATATTATAGTACTTTAATTGCAGTAGCTGTTATTTTTGAAGATATAATTGTATCACAGAGTTGAAAATTGAAATTTTATTCTTTCATTGTTTTGGTCTTTTGGGTATTTTGCATTGTTTTAGTAGTCTTCAGGCAGTTCAGGCTCTACTGTCTGATGGAACATAGCCTAAATTGCCATAAGCCACCATTCAATAAATGAGAAAATATTTACTGAAGAAACAGCTGTCATCCATATGTGGACTTTTGTCACTCTTTACTTAAAGTCTGATTGAATATTAAGATGCATCATCACAATGGTTCTGATTTTGACAAGAACAGCTTGCACGTAAGATCTTTGCTAGGAAGGCTGTGTAATATAATTCTTGAATGTAGCTCTATTTGTATTTGTAGCAGATGGTTACTTGACTGCAGTGATGCTTCGAAAGACATTAGTAAAAGAAGCTGTATTTAAACTGATTTGTTTGGGTGCTTAGATAAGGATAGTAAGAAAGAATTGAAATTTACAAATGTGCTAACAACATGCTTTTGGCATCCTGTTTAGTAAGATATTTGCTTGTGTGTTTTTTTCTTGCCTGTATTGACTTTGAGATTAGCGTTTAGATTGCTTACCCCTCAAAAATGTTAAGAGGTAGAGTTACTATGTTTCTCCTCACATTCTATTATGTTTGTCCTTCCTTATTCTTACAAGCAATGATCCAGAGACACTCAAATAAAGCTGCCAGTCTGAAATATAATATATGTGAAAATCATCTCGTTTTGTGAACAACAACATAGCTTAGGTTCTGATGCTTCCTATTTCTTTGGCATTGTATGAAAAAAAAATCCCGTTTTGTCATTTTCAACAGAATTAAAAGTAGAAAACCTCACATTGTTTGAGCTTATTCTCTGCTGAATTCCTTTGGGCCTCCTAACTGTTTAATTTTGTTGTATATCAATTATCACAGTAGATTCTTTGGAATCTTTCATTTGCTGTTTCTCTAGCATAGTTTTTCAACCATGAATTGTAGATATCAGAGAAGGAAAAACTGTCTTTTTAAAAGGACAGGCCTATTTTCAGTAGTACACTTTCAGATACACTCTATTTTTGTTTTAGTAGAAATTTGGCTAAGATGAATGTGGAGGAACCTTTGGGTTATTCTAGAGGAGCATGAAATAATTGACTCTTTTTTTATTTTATTTTTAAAAGAATAAAATTAAACAGAACAAAACAGAGCAAAAGAAAAAAATTAAGAAACACATTATTTCCAAGCAAGACCACCGGAAATCTTCACTGTCTATCATACGGTCTCTGTTTTCTTCCAAATAGTTGTCCATATCTTCACACACAGTGATAAACAAAATAGTACTAAAATGATCAGAACAAGATGATGAAGATATTTTAGGTCTTCAACACCAGACAATAGGGAAGTCAACAATGGCTGCCAAAATGCCTCTTGTTCTCTTCAAAGGAGCTGTCCATATCTTTACGTATGTTGAAATTAAACAAAAGAAAAAAGACTAATATCTGGACAGAGAATAATAGTATTGCTAGATTTTGTATCATGATGCTAGGAATTAGCACTGGGTATCTTAATGTCTCATTTTCTTCAGAGTATCTGTTCATTACATTGTATGTTATAGAACCTATTCTCGTAAACTGTTTAGAAGTTCTATTCTTGGGTGAATCTCTATATGCATACATATCCTTTCTGTAGTAGAAGGAAAAACAAACCAAAACAAGACAACAACACAAATTCCTAGAAAAACATGAAATGAAAAAAAGGTATAAAACCAAAATCGTAGGTGAGCTACAGTAGTTACTCTGATGTCTCTTGTTATTTTCAATAGAATTGTCTATATCATCAGGCTTAATATAATCGAACATAGCGCTACATGGCAATATTCATAAAAACAAAACATCGGAAACATTCTAGGACTTCAAAAGCAGTTAATAATCCAACCAGAATGGATATCCTGTTGCATCTTGGTGTCTTCCAAGTAGTTGCCTTTGCTCTTAGATTGATACTATGAAGCAAATCAAATTCGAATAAAATTAGTCAAAGACAAAACAGTGATATAACAAACCAGATTCAAATAAGATCAGTCATAGTATGACAATGTAAGTAATACAGGGCTCCAGGTTAAGTTAATAGAAATTAAGTATAGTTACTGTAGTATATCCTGCTATTTTGGGGATAGCTGTCTGCGCCCTCAAATCTACAACAAGTAGACAGATTGAAACAGAATAAAATCAAACTAAACAGAGTGATAAAACTAATTTGGCCTTTAAATCCTGATACACTATTAACAGTGTCTTCTGCCTTCCTTTTTTAGACAATTCCTCCCCTTTCCCTTTCTCAGAATGCTTTGTACAATTTGGGTTCCACTAACTCCTTTAGTTTCTGGATTGCCAGGGGCAACCTGCTATTTATCTAAGTGGTTCTGAACCTTTTTACCCTTGAGCTTGGTCTTGAGCTGTATTCCTTTATTTACTAAAGACTCAAGGTTTTCCTTCCTTATAACTGAGTAGTTTTCCACTTCACAAAAGTGTCATGACTTTTCAACCTAACTGCAGTTGCTGGTCGAGCTGTCCCTATTTTTCTCTGGTTCCTTGTCACACAGAGCATTGTTTTATCATCTTTGACTTTTGGTTCATTAATCCTCTTTCAGATAAATTATATGTCCTAATCACAGCATCTTGATGGACCCTATCTCCTGATCTACTCTGCCTGTTTTTCTTTTTGTTAGTGTATCAAGGCCATCTGTATTAAAGATTATAGCCAGTCTTCTTGTCTCATCTCTGCTATGCTATTTTTCTGCTGTTAGTTGTCTACTTTTCCCCTTCATTCCATTGTCTGCCCTATTCACTGAGGCCTCCCTGCCACTATTGCTGGAATTCTGGTGATTTTTTTCCTCTCTCTCTAGAATGTCCTTCAGTATTTTTTGTAGGCTTGGATTGGTGGTCAAGAACTCCCACAGTTCCTCTTCTTCATGGAAACATCTTGTTTCCCCATTAATTTTGAGAGACAGTTTTTCAGGGTACATCAACCTGGGTTGGAGGTTATTTTCTTTCAGGGCTTAGAATACTTTGCTCCAAGCTCTTCTTGTTTTGATAGTTCATGTTGAGAAGTCTGTTGTGATTTTGATGGGTTTTCCTTTGTAGGTGATCTGTTTCTTTTCTCTGACCACTTTTAATATTCTGTTCTTGTGATGAATTTCTGAGATCTTGATTATTGCATGTCTGGGTATAGATCTGTTTTGGTTATGCCTCGGTGGAGTTCTGTATGCCTCCTATATTTGAATATCATTTCCTCTTCCTGTGCTTGGGAAGTTTTCCTTAATTATTTCTGTGAATAGCCTTTGTATTTCATTTGTGGTTACTCCTGCTTCTTCACTCACATTTTTTATTCTTAAGTTATAGATCCTCTTGTCATCTTCTTTCCTTTGTATTGTTATTTCCTGGTTCCTTGTTATTTTTAAGAGATCTTTCTTTTCACAATCACACATTGCAAGTCTATCTTCAAGTTTTGAAAGTCTAACTTTAGTTTCTGTCAAGGAATTTTTCCAGCTATCAATGAAGTTTTTAATTTCTTGGTAATCTCTTTGGATCTGTTTCATGTATTTTAGATTTTGTTTATATTCTTCATCAAATGTTTCTATCCTTTTCCTGGGTTCCTCCATTCTTTCATTTGTATCTTCTTGAGAGGTCCTTAGAATTTCTTTTATTAATCTTTTTATATCTTGCCTCACTTGAATTAGAATTTCAGTTTTAAGTTTGTCTATGAGGTCCCAAAGGTGTTTCTTTATGTCTGCTGATGTTGTGGCCAATATTGCATATTTGCTGCCTTTGGTCTCTTCTGTATTTACCTCTTCTGAGCTTTTATCCCTGGGTCAGTGGCTTAAGGCTTTTTCTTGTTTCTTTCTCTTGTCATGTTTCAGGTTTCTTTCAGAATGATGTATGGTGGAGGTTTCAGGCCCTTTCTGTAATGCTTATGGGTTTTGTGAAGTATGCTGGCTATGGGATCTTATTTTCTATCTCCTATGATCTTTGCATTTAGTAACTTTGGTAGAATTAACATTATTATCTTTCTGAATTTCATTTTGTTGTTTTTTAGT